CTTTCTCATCCTAACATTAACCATAAAGAGACGTTGGATTGAATTTATAATACGAACTTTCTTAACACTAATCGTAATTTCTCATCCTAACATTAAACAATCGAGTTCCAATCTTCAAGTGCATATTATCAGATTTGGATCTGAGTTTATTCGGTTATCCGTTTACTATTTATATTCGGATAATTATCTGAATACCTTTCGGATTATCTGGATGATTATCCGATATCTTTCGGGTTATCCAGATAATTATCCGAATACCTTTCGGATTATCCGGATAATTATCCGAATACCTTTCGGGGGTCTGTATCACCTCGTAGAAGTTTATTTCACAGGCACCTTGTTTCACAGACAATCAGTTCGTAGACAAGTTTATTTTAAAGACAATTAATTTACAGACAGTTCATTTCATAGACAGTTCATTTTATAGACATTTCATTTTATAGACAATCTTTAACACCGATTCAGAAGATATTTGCTATTAAAGATTGTCTATAAAATAAATTTGTCTACAAAATAAATTGTTTATATCATCAGATTTCGGTATCATCCACGATATTTCTTATTTTATCAATTATATTAGCTTCTTTTTTAAAAAAATATAACAAGGGAAAAAGAGCAATTATTAGGTAACTTTAGTTGCATTCAATTTAATATTAAAATAATTTTGATCTAACGAATATTAATTCTAGTGAAGAAAAATCGGCTTATTTTAAATGATTATCAAGTCTACAAGGATCCTGATATTACTGATTTTAAAAAAAATATTAAGTAAATATCATATATTATGGATCCTTTTTGATGAATTCGAAAATATTGAAGTGATAGGAGTGGATGGATTTTCGACAGTTTATTATGCTGACTGGATTGATCCAGATTAGTGATTGGCGTCGTAATCATGTGATGCTAATTGTCACGTGGTAAAATATATAAAAATCAACAATTTAATTTATATATTGTATCATGTGACAATTAGCATCACATGATTACGACGCCAATCACTAATCCAGATCATATTGCTCGATTACCTGTCGCACTCAAATTAATAAATGGATCAAAGGAAAACCGTAAAAATTTCGTTAAAGAGGTAATTTTTAGTTAAATTTTGACTGTTTAAAAAATTCGTGATAATTTTTAATTGCTTTTTAATCAAAGTTGGAAGCATTTTGTGATATCAATTCTAAAAGCTTTCATTTATGAAATGTTACGGTATAACAAGACATGATGTTTCCGAAGATTATATTCTTGTTTTCAAATATGCACCAAATGGTTCCTTGGAACAGTATCTTTATCGGGTAACACAAATGGAATGGAAACATAAATTAAATCTCTTGATATGTATTATTTCTGATCTCAAAGCAATTCATTCGCAAATCTTATTCATAGAGATTTACATTGTGGTAATATTCTATTGACAGAAAATTTATACGGCACATATATCACAGATTTAGGATTAACAATATTGGAAAGTCTAGAATCCAAAACTGCAATTTACCCTATAAAAAAAGTCGATCCGTGTTTTATATTCCATGTTTTTTCCGTAAATGTTGCATATTCACGGAATTTATAACCTTAAATCATGGCGATTATTCGGCTTGTCTAGATTTTGCCGATCATGTTGCAGATTCACGGAGTTTTCACAAAAAATATGGAGAAATATTCGGATAAAATTTCTTACAGGGTTATTGCAAGTTGCCTTATATTGCTCCTGAGATATTACGTAGAAAAGTTCCTTATACTCAGCAGGCTGACATATATAGCTTCGGCATTATCATGGCTGAAATCTCAACGGGAAAATTGCATTTTTGTGATAGGAAAGATAAGAATGATATTGTTTAGATTGCCCTTGATGTTTGCAATGGAATTCGCCCAGTATTTACAAAAGAAACACCACAGATATATATTAATCTAGCAAATGAATGCATGAATGTAGACCCAAACAAACGTCCTCCAGTTAATAAAATTTATGAAAATTTAAATTCTTGGATAAACGAATAAAAATTTTTCAAGAACCTCATGTAAACTGGCTTACCGACATCCTGGATTTGGACTTATCATTAATCTTCCAATTACCTATATTAAAATCAAAGTATTCAACGCTCACTAATGAATATTCAGCTGACATTTCAGATGGTTCATATTCTATAAACCCTAATGAATATTCAGCTGACGTTTCAGATGGCTCATATTCTATAAACCCTATAGAAAATAGTCTAAATACCGTTGGAAATACTTTTGGTAAGATATAGTCAGACTTTCTAAATGAATCTTTTTAAGCTTTTTAGAATTACAATAAATGTGTTTATATTATTTATAACTAATCTAAATTTCGCCAATAGGTTCACAACAACATAGCCTTGAGTTATCAGATTCTGACTTTACATAATAGGTTTTAGTTCGTAGATATATTAGTTATTAAAAATCCAATGTAGTGTTCAAAACCGTTAGTTGAAAAGCAACTTTTCTACTAATCGATTTAAAAAAATTTTCTTTTAAACAACTGACCGATTTATCATCAACTGGTTCGATTCGTTAGTTATCATCAAGTTAATAAAAAATAAATTATATGACATCATTAATAAAGAACAAACGATTACATAACATAGTTTCTTGATATTTTTAATTAGTAGTTTTTAATTTTTCGGAAAGACCAGTCCCGACTGGTTTCAAGACTGACTATCATCATATCTAACGATTAATTCTGTAATTTTTGCTATTCAATGCCTTAATGTTAATAAATGGTAAACTTTCTTTGATTCAAATCTATTCTACATCCTTAAACAAATCTTTTTATTAGTTTACATTAATATACGTACTTTTTTTTTAGGATTATAGAAGATCAGTATGGGACGACTGACGGGATCAATCTGGTACGGGTCCAATTTTATCAAGCCATATCATACTGATCTGTTTATCATATAATATCAAAATGGTATGTCCTTTAAAAATCGTACCATATTATCACAATATATAGTATATATTGTGATAATATATAAAGCAAGACTAGTACGTATGGTACGATTTTTGATATTATAGGATAAGCAGATCAGTATGGTACATTTTGATAAAATTGGATCCGTACCAGACTGATCCGGTCAGTCGTACCATACTGATCTTCGTAAAACCTTTTTTTTTTATACTAAGTTGGTAAAAAATCTTTTTATCCTGAAAAACCTCCAATTTATACACCTATAATTAAACTATTCATATAATCAACGTTGATAACACCCAAAAGTAATACTGTATTTGCTACTTATTGCTCCTGCTTAATTAAATTCCGTCCCAAAATTTATTGCAGTAGTGCAATGATATAATCGTCCATCTAACTAAATTAGTATAGTGTCGTGATTGTTAGCGTGCATACAGACATGAAAATGTACAAAAGTGAAGCATCTATGTTAATAAAAGGAAGGAATCCCGTTCATTACTGTATAAGGTAGCATAGTCAAAATGATTCTTTTCATTAAGTACGCACTTATTATTATAAGCTCGCCCTTATAGAATTACTATGCCCACTAGAAACCTTGCGCCATTAATTATGTGCCGCTCTCACCAGCCATTATAATAGGACAAAACTTTATCTTGTGGATCGTGCCACAATTCTCATTATATCAGGTGTCGATACATATGTCCTTATTCGATTCACAACTTTCATCATTTGAATAAATGAAGTGAGAAATATTTGGTTTGCTAGTAAATTAATCATTTAAAAAGTTTAAGAGCAATATATATAATTTTTATAGCAATCAAATTTCTATTCAATAAGAATGTCCAGAAAAATCCTATATGATTTATCAAAATTGATATTATCGTTATTGTTCATTTTCGCAGCAACTTTCCTATTCCCGATAGGATTAGCTACTCAATCTCCTATTCTTCAAAATTCCTCACATAACTTTAAGGAAGATGTTAATATTGGATTGATACCAAGGGTCTGGGAGGTTTGTGTCTAATTATCGTGCACTAAGAATTATATTTACTTTAGAGGTTAGAATCGATGAACAAATTACCGAGCATTGGTCGACAAGTTTTCTTATTAGTTGAACATTCGTCAAACATCAATCATATAAACAATTCATATTATTCTGATTTTAATTTTTAAAAGAACTTGACTTTATACATTGGAAAAAAAAAAAAATGCTCAAATTCATCTATTACAATCTCTAAGTTGTACAATAATTGTCAATTTTATTTATTATTCAATTACTTGATACAGCTCTTGGGCCCATTTTCTACTGGAACACGTGAACAAGATTTTGGAGCGGATCCTTTGGAAGCTTACGGTAATTGTATTTTTATTTGAACTAACTATTTTCTAATATTGTATCTGATACATTTCACATAAATAATGTATGTATCTAATACTGTTATGACAAAGGTGGCTTTAGGAATTTAAGTTTTTCAAAAACTCAATCATTTCCTTCAGAGTTGGCAGATAATGGAACAGTAAAATGGTCAACTATAATGACAAATATGGATGGTTCTGTTGGCCCTATACATTTTAAAAATTTAAGGTAATTTGTTATACTACTTTCTTTCATAACCCACCGTATGTTAATATGGTCACTGATAATGATTTTTTATTAATAGGTGGGAATTTAATAGAGAACCGTTTGGCTGGGCGATGAATCAGTTTCAAATGTGGGCAAGAGGATATTTTGAGCTTTCAGATTCGGATCTTAAAGATGTATCTGATACGATTCCGGTTTTAGTTCAATGTCAAAACATTGGTGATTTTTATGTAGATGATCGAAGGCTCTTTGGTGATTGGTATGGGTACAAGAATTCTTGGCATGTTCTTTATCTTCGTCCTGGCAAGCATGTTATCAACGTTCGTCTGGTGAATGAAATTCGGATCTTTGGTGGAAATATTCCGCCAGACGTTCAGTTTCAATGTTTTGTACGAAAATTAGAATTTCATCAAATTGGTGCGATGGTTCTGGATAACACTGTACTTGTTCCCGATTTGGTCTATGGTATTTTGGCTGGAAAGTTTGCCAGCGTTGCGATTTTGAACACTCAAGAAAAGTTTTGGATCACTGTCTCAAAGGTCAATGTTATTAATAATAACGTTAATGTATGTCTTCAATTTATTTCATTAAATTTTAAGCTATCGATTAATTTACTTGTTAATAATTAAAGTTATATTGATAGATGACTGCATCACTTACCTGTGGTAAATCTGTTGTTGATTCGATAGTCGGAATTCGTATTGCTCCATCTCAACAACGGAACATTAAAATATGTTTAAATATTGAATCACCAGTACCCAATACGATGCCATTGTCATTTCAATTACAATTTCTAATTATTTCTCGAACTGATAAAAGAATTATTTATTGGACTAAAGTCACAGATCTAATTTCAATAAGTAACAAAATTTTTGATGGCGCGTATAAATTCACATTTGAAGATTTTGATACCACTGTGCAATATGGTATATATACATTTATAAATATGAACAAACTTTTCACAAATTACCGTAAATATAATTACTATAATGCTTCTATATCTAAACTAAGCAATGGCAATGCCTCCTTCGCAATCATGTCATCCTCATAAATGTCCCATTTTGGTGGCTCTGCATGGTGCGGGTGTCGAAACTCAATCTGTATTTTGGATAAATGCTTATAAAAAACAACAAAGCGCATGGGTATGAACTTTGTAGTCTTGAAAATTTATAATATCTATTTAAACTCGTGTGGTTCATGATAAATTATTATTATATGAAGGTTCTTTTTCCTACCGGAAGAACACCATGGGGATATGATTGGCATGGTCCTAGCTTAAAGAATATTCAAATGACAATAACAACATTGGAAAAATTTATGCCAGGTGTACCAAAATTTCTAGAACAATTATTCTTGCCAGATGCTAATAGGCTATTCATCTCTGGTCAGTTGATTCTACATACTATATATATTTTTTTCTCTCTATACAGTTAATTTAGTATTCACTATTTAAATATCAAAGGTCATTCAAATGGTGGCCAAGGTGCATGGTTTTTTATGACTCACTTTCCGGATTCAGTGATTGCAGGTATATTTCGACAATGTTAAAGTTCTAATAAAATTCTAGTTTATTTATTGTTTTAAATTATTTGTTCAGGAACTCCGGCTGCCGCATATACTAAAATTCAGAGTTATGTGCCCTATTATTGGAATAGCGATGCTCATTTAGATCCCTTTCTTAAAGGAGTAAGTAACAAAATTATTAATTATTATATTTTATAATTTATCTTTAAATTCTTTTGAATTTTACGTAAAAAGATTCTTGAATCATCAATTGCTGAATATAATAACGATTTGTACACTACAAATGTGGCAAGTATATTGCATTCTATCAGAATAATCTATCATACAAAATGTATGCCAATATATTTTTATTCGATATTTTTTTTAGGTTAACATCCCAATATTAGCAAGAGCCGGCTCGGACGATAATAATGTTCCACCTCTACATTCTCGTATGCTTGTCCGTCTTGTTAATGAACATTCTGGAGATCCAAAAGCAATCAGGTAATTAATATTATATATACATATTTTATTTTGGTTTATAAGGATATAATTTTTTAATATGTTATTTCAACGTAGACTTTCTGAAATACCTGGCCAAGGGCATTGGTTTGATAAAGTTATGGACGATGATGTGATGCAAGAGTTCATGGATGAACATTTAAAACTCGATCATTTGAATAAAAGTAATTTATGTCCTACGAAATTTACTATAACCTTATTGAACCCTGCAAGCTTTGGTGGTAAATGTGGAATTCAGATTGAACAATTAAAAATTCCATTCAGGTAATTAAAAATATTATTAATATTGATATATAAATTTAATTTATCATTTTAATTTTGCTTATTTTATTTATTTTAGATTAGGTAAACTTCATGTACAGATTGAAAAAACTTCTCATGGTCGATCAATATGGCATATCAAAACCTCCAACATTCGTAAATTTAAATTTGTAAATAATTTAAATTTTCATGCTGAAAGTCTAAATGCAAGAAAAATTATAATTGACGGGAAAAAAGTTGACTCTAGTCATTTTCTATTGGATGGTTACTTTCGACAAAATAATAATAAATGGGTGGTAATGTATCTTTCAAATTTCTCTTATTTTTTTGTTAAAATAATAATATTTTGTTATTATCATGTTTTGTTCAATATAGTTTCATAGCGGTTGTTCATGGCACAAAAAGGAGAAGCATCCAGCAACTTATGGCCCTGCAATAACAATTCTTGAATCTACGCAACCGCTAAGAATAGTTATTGGAACCATTAAAAGAAACAAGAATAATTGTACTAATAAATTCTTTGAAGTTGCTCAAGAGATTGCTCATAGTTGGTATCTTTATGGAAGAGGAGATGCTGAAATTCTGTTTGATTCAGAGTTTATAACAAAAAAAAATAAATTAGTTGATAATATTAAAGGAAATTTGATTTTATTGGGTGGTTCATACGAAAATCACGTCACGCGATTTTTATTAAAAAAATACAATGAAGGTAGGAATATAATGGTTTATTTTTGTTTAACAAATTTATTATTATTACTTTATATATATTCAATTTTCTGCCTTTAGTGAAATTTAACGAGGATGGTTCGTTTAGTTTAAATTATAAACCATTTCTTGAGGCTGGAAGTGGTACGTTTTTTGCCTTGCCAATTTTTTTCCAATGAAGGCACTAATAATTTTTCTTCTTTTATAGGTATTCTATTCCTTCATCCCTATAAAACAGACTATTTAGCCTTAATTCTGGCTGGTATAGATCATAAAGGTCTTGATCAAGTTGCCAAATTATTTCCTAAGAGAACTGGAGTTCCTATTCCAGATTGGATTATCGTAGGACCTGAATCTTCATGGAAAGGTGCTGGTGGGTTACTTGGCGCTGGGTCTGTATTTTTTACTCAGTTTTCTTAAATGGAAAATATCTTTTATTAATATGTTGATTGTTCAATAGATTTTGGGATAATGAATGGAAGTTCGATGATTCGATTGGATATTTGGTGTAAAGAAAATGATTATTACTATTAAACATCTATTAAATTTATAGTTTTTGTAATATTTTTTGTGTGTAAATTTGAATTTTTTGCACATAAAATTATTATAAAAGTAAAAAATAAAATTATTTGTATTTTTAACAATTATTGTCTTATTCAAAGCCCAATGATGTATGTATAAGTTTATTTAAACTATGTACTTACACGTGTATGTACAATAAAAAGAATTGTATTAATTAAATATAAACTGCATAGTATCTGTATTGTAAGTATTAATCTATTGCTATTATACTATAAATTCTTTACATACGTATTAGAATTTATAAATTTTTTTATTAATCTAATTACAAATAAAATTCACCATTTATTTTAAACATTCTATTTATTAACGCGTTTGCATTATGGCCCTTATTTCAAGTGAATTTGTACTTTTTATATTTGCAATTAATCATCATTGTTAAATAATATATTAGTAAGCTAAATTCACAGTTCCAATACTTCAGTAATAGTGGCAAATTACTCTATATCATTAGTACCATTACTTGTTATATAATAATCCTAAATTTTTTCTTTTAGTTAACCTATGTTTACTTATTTTAGTGTTCTACTTGTTTTTTCTAAACATGTATCACTTTAAAATAGTTGGATTAACATATTTAAAGATAAACTCACAGAAGCTAGTTTGTTAATTATATTAATAGAAACAATATTTCAATATAATAAAATTATAACTCTTTTTAATAATTACTTGGGCCAAATTTTTTCATCAAAGAAAAGCTAAAGTTTTTTGCTGGAGCATGACCTGCATCTAAAAGAAGGCGTAGTTTTTTGCTAGAGTGTGGTCTGCACCAAGGTGTAGTAGAATAATACAGAGTTATAGGTTTTGTAAAGGTTAAGTGACCTCTTCTCTAGAGACTTCGATATGCAAGCCAAAGGTATCCTTATACAAGATAATTGGCAGAAAGTGGTGTCCTTGTATATAAAATTTTAGTGAAGTTTAGTATTCTCTGTTAGTGAAAATGCTTGTAAAAAAATAGTAAAAAATAACAAAGAATGAGCTTCCCTTAAACCTTGCTCTTTTAATTTAAACAAGTAGTTTCTACTATACTTTTTATTACCCTCTACCTTTCTTTCAAAATGTTTGACAAAAAGTAGAAATTTGGTTTATCTTCAAAAGATTAGCATTGTTTACTTTCCAAGTTCAGACAGACTAGTAAATTGCAACTATGTGTTTATTTATAGATACTTCACAGATTAGGTTAAAAACCCTAATTATGGCAGCAGGTAGCTTGAAATATTGGTTTTTAAAAAGTAGCAGAACCTGGTTTAATATATGGATTAAGACAGGCAATAAAATTATTTGGAGTTGGTTGTAAGATAAGAAAGTAAATTTAATATTAAAGTGAAGCTTTATACTAGAGCAAGATTGGCAATAGATATACTCCATTGAAAAATTACCAATAGACCCAATAGAGTGAATAAAGCTAATGATACTAACGGAGAATCTAATAAAGCCAGTGGAAAGCTAGTAGAGACAATAGCTCTGATAGAAATATCTAATAAAGCAAATAAGGAATAGAGTTCTAATCTCCAGCCTTATATGCCAATAGTTTAACCTGATGATAAACAAGTTAAATAGATTAATATCAATAGAGTTAACTAGCTTTTATTGGCTCTATGCAGAAATTATTTTTAATAGAGCAATAGAGTAATGTTAATATTTGTCTCAATAGCTAAATATATCAATCTTGCACTAGAAATATATAAATATTACTTTTGCTATATAATTTTTATTAGCCATATATGGGTTATAATAGTATCTTTAGAGTCTTAGATTTTTTTTCATATTTTTTTTTTTTTGAAATCAGTATTTTTGTTTTTTTATAAAATTTTTTGTTTAAATTTTTTTCTTTTTTATCTTGTATTACTTGAGAAGAAAAAAGAATTAGAAAAAAAAAAGAAATTCTAATACAGTATTCAACAACATGTCAAGTTATTAGGGGATATTCTTTGTACAGTACTAGATAACAAAATGCATCCACTTTTTATTAATAAAAACTTTAAATTATTATAATTTTTTTAAAACAAGTCAAATTAAAAAACCTTCAATAATTGATAGATATTTAACCAAACTACATTTTTGTCAGAGAATTTTCTATTATTTTTTAAGTTAAAAAAGTTATTAAGAGTTAAACTTTATAATAGTTTAAAAAATTAGTATTTAATATAAAAATAAAAAAGTATATATGTTTAATTAACTAATTAGAATCAATTATATCAAAATTAGCCAATCAGAATTGATTATATAAATATCATAAATTGGCACTCTATATGTATAAAGTGGATATCTTATGCTGTTCAGTACTGTATAATAACAAGTTTTAAATATCAAGAGACTAATAGTTGTTATAGCAGATTATATTAGATATTTTGCTTAGTAAGTTTTTTTAGACTAGAACTTTAACTAGTAGATGAAATACAATTATACTTTGTTATATAGTAGATTATATGGCAGTTTATATAAATAAAAGCAGAATTGCTTGATAAAATTATTTTAATTTTTATTATATATAGATAGCAATAGCTTAAATTAATTATACATTTTTTCATAAAAAATGCATATAGAATTATTATAATTTTTTTAAAAAATATAATACAAGTAGTAATTATCATATTCTTAGATATATTTAGAGTTAGAGTGCAGTTATTAGAATTGTTTTTTATATATAAGTACTGCCAAAAGAAATCTAACACTTTAAATATAGTTTATATTTAAAATAATGAATTTTTTTTTGGTGATACGTATATAATATAATGTAGATTAAATTTAAAATTCAGATTTCAATTTTTATAAGTTTTAGAGTTTTACTTAGAATACCCAATTATATTTACTTAGTATATTTTTGATTTATAAGCAGTTTAGTAATAATTACTACTAGTTATAGTTAGTAAGATTCTTTTTAAAATTTTAATATTGTAATTTTTGTAAATTTTGTATTGAAATTTTGTATTAATAATATTTTTTTGATAAATTAAATTATTATTCCTTAAGCTGTTTTCCAGGCAAATTTGCCTAGAATTTTGAAAAGTATTTATAATTTTTTAAATAAAATTAAAAAATATTAATAATATGAGTATATTTTATATATATAATAGTATATTTAAAACATATTCTATATGCTTTATTATAAAAATTTTTTAAATTTATTATAAATCTTTAGAGTAATAAAAATTTAAAGCTCTTGCTTTAAAAATTTTTTACTATAAAGTTTTTATTAAAATATTCTAAATTTTCAACTTTAAAAAAAAGTTTGCTTCTAATACAAGTTTTAATTTTTATTAGAAATCACTAAAAGTGTAATAATAAAAGTTGCTATCTTTTATATAAGCTATAATATTGTATTAAGAATATAGGTTTAAAATTAATATTTAAAAAGTTTATCAAAAATTTGTAAATGATTTTTTTGATTAAAAATTTTTTTAAAATTTGTCTATTTTAGCTTATAAGCAACTCATATTTTTTTTATAATATAAAATTAAATACTACTATAATATAATCTTTATATTTAAATATTATCAAAAAAAAATTTATTTAAATATAGTTGACACTCTCAAAACTGATCCTGTCAAACCTAAAAACCTGTCAAATCTGATAAATAATTAATCTATCAAGTTCATTTCTATTATAAATTTAATAATTTGCTATGCTTTCAAAACTAATAACTTCTTAAAACTAATATAAATCCTATCCACTATGCATACCAATTCTAAGAGAATCAACTGCATTTTACATTTTTACAAAAGTAAATCATAAGCAAATTTATAGTAATTTTCTAAACAAATTTGCCTGGAATTGCTTTATAGTTTAAGAGATAGTATTTAATTTAATTAAGTTTGTAATACTAATATATATATATAATTTTGTTTGTAGCAAATAAATATTCAATTAAAAGTAGAAAGAATGATTATAATTTATGTTTTATTATATTTTTGCATAACATTAAGAAAGAGTTACATAAGCAATAAATATAAAATAATAGCAATCTTGAAAAATTACAAAAAACCAAACCAAACTAAATTTGATTGTAAAATATAAAGGTTATAAGTTTTGTTTAATATATTATTTAATAATCTTAAGAAATAATTATATACAATAAATATGAAAAAGTAATAAAATAGAAGAATTAAAAAAGTAAAAAAAAAAATAACAAAAAATAAAAAGCATTAGGTTAAAAAAAAAGAAACCAAGTACACAAAGTTAAATCAAAAAACTATCATCTCATATTATTGTCTTTTGCAATAAATCTATGCATTTAAGTCTCAATTTAGACAAATTAATATTGGTTCCTCAAATTTCATTAGGTCATACATATACTTTTGTTAAAAATATATATTGTAGATAAAATATATAAACAAATTATAATTATATATTAAGTTTATACTCTTACTAATAAATTAGCGTCAGCAATTATTAAAAATATATATTGTTAGATATAGAAGATATATAATTTAAAAATTAAATAAAAAATACAAAACCAAATACACTAAAGCTTATAGTTACCTTCTAATAATTCAACAAAAAAATATATGCATTATATATAGTTTGTAATAGTATAGTTTAAGGTCATAAATAAAAATATTAAAGCTTATATTTACCTGCTAATAATTTGTTATAAAAAAAATCTATATTATGGATTTTTTAAAAAAAAATTAAAAATAATAAAGTTTATATTAACTTGTTTCTAAATTAACAGAGATATTTTTAAAGATTTGTTAGATGAGAATTTTAAAATCAATAAAATTTTAAAAATAATTATAATAAAGCTTAAGCTTTCTTACTATTAATTTGACAGAAGGATTTGTTAAAAAATTTGTTTTAAAATTAATAATAATCTTGAAAATAAATATAATAAAGCTTAAACTTACTACTCACTAATTTGACAAAAGTATTTGTTAAAACATTTGTCAAATGAATATTAATATAAGGTTTATACTTACTAGCTAATAATTTGAATACAAATTTTAAAGAATAATAATTTCAAAATAATTATATTAAATGTAATTTATTTATTTACTACTCAGAGTGTGATCTTATCATTAAGATTAACTGATAAATTTGCAATATGTAATAAACTTCAGTTATCCATATTTGTTTTATATATAACCAATTTGCACTGGGAATTATATATAAAAAATAGATATAGATCATATCTCTATGCTGGTGTAACAAATGTTTTTACAAAATTTATATATAACATTGTTAGACCTACTATACAGTGTTGTAAATTATCTGATTTTTCTTATATAATAAAAATAAATCACATGTATTTTCTCTATATATTTGCAAATGTTGTGCTATAGCAAGATATTAAAATGCAACTTTTAAATAAAAAAAAATTCATCTGTGTAGTAATAAATTATTTTAATTATACTTACCAACTAATAATTTGACAAGAGAAAATATTTATTATAAAGTTATAATATAAAAATCAAGTAAAATTTAGTTAACTATATACTTTTTTTTTTTTAAAGTGACCTCTTTGGTCGGTAAATTTTATTATAGTTTAATTGGGGTAGTAATATTTACAACAATTTTAACTATATATATTACAACTAGCCTTAGAATTTACTAACAATTTCTGGCTAATCTATCATCAAGATAAACCTGACATCGCATTACATGTCCTACACATAATAGTACATACTCATTTGGTAATTACTTTCCAATTTGTACATATTGTCTGCTATCATTGTATTTGTATTTCAAGCCACCTTTTGGGGTGCTGCTAAAATACAATTCATATCTCAAGTACAACCTTTCTAATTAGTCCTTTATTACGTACTCCTGTCCTTGTAAGGTTTACAACAACCCTGATACTCTCATTCAAGTTGTCTTCTTATTCAGATTCTTTATTGGTCTCTCTATTACTTCCAGCTGGCAACCCAGATGGGTTGGTTTGCTCAGGCATTAGATGCCTGAAGGACGCTCTCCTCTTGGTCTGTACTTTCAGAGCATACAGCCTTTTCCTCTGGTGTGTCTAGACTGGTGGTTTAGCTAATATGTTCCTTTACTAAAGGAACAAATTGCTGGTTTTTCAACCTTGGGCCCAGTTTAAATTTAGTCTTTATGTAGTACCGTTGAAGATCACTGCTACCTCCAAACTCAGGACTTCCCAAATGGGCTTTCTGTACAGTGAAAAACAATCCCCAGATTTACATGATCATGGACTTATCAAGTGTTTGCACTGCTCTAAACTGGTTTGCATTCCTTTGTAGTTCCCGAGTTTTCTCAGTTATAAAATACTAACAAATCTCCAAGGATCACTCCTTGGTACAACTCGAGTTACAGATCCTCAATTCAAGATCTGATCATCTTATACAGGTTATTATACCACAAGCCTATTTTCAAAAGTGTCAACTATGGAATTTAAACTCTAAACCTGCCACTTGGGGAGGGTGACAACTAGACCACTTCACTAAGTTGCTACATCTCTTTAACTATATACTTACTAATAGAAAAAATATACATTATATATTAATAGATAGGATTTTAGTATACTACCAATAGTATATTATACTACATATTAACACTTTTCAAAAGCAATTATCCAGTAATTTTAAAATTTTAATTATATTTTAAACAACTTTAAATAGTTTGTTAGGTATTTGGCTTTTTATACTATGATAGTTATTAGTTCTAAATAGCATTTCTAATTTTTTAGAATTTTTTTTTAGATTAAATATTTTAGTTTAAACTATTTTTATATAGTAGCTATTATAAATATTTAAAAAATTTATTTAATAAAAAAATTTTTAAGCTATAGCTAAAAATCAAAGAGCTTATATGAATTACTAAAAATAGTAAAGATTTTCAAATATTATAATACAAAGTTTATAATACAAATTATATTTTTTATTATATAACTAGTAATAATTTTTTGGATATTTTATAGAATAAGTAGGCAATATACAAAATAAACTCTGCTACTAATTAGTAATTATTAATAAATACTAGTATGATGGATAGCACTTTCGCACTACTCATCTTATTTGTTTTGTTATATTTTTTGGTTTTGTATTTATTATATTATTAAGTTTAATTTGTAGTTAGTGTTAGATAATTTTAGACATTTTTTTTGTGGTATAGTTTATATAAGTTTTTTTTTAAATGTGTTGTATTATTTGTTTTTGCTTTTTATGGTTTAGAATAGAGATGGGTAAAATGCACATTTTATAATAACATGCACATGAATGCATATTGATGCGCACATTATATTAAATGCATATAATATCATATAATATAAATTTTTTTGATTTTATATTTTTTTCTCTGGTAAATATCGGATATTTGCAAAGGTTTTTTCCAACCTTTCTCATCTTTATGTTTATTCATTTTCTTTTCGGAGTTTTTCAAAACTTCTGCATTTATATTTCTTAATTTTGCCTAGATTTATACATCTTGGCCTAAATTAAATATATTTTAATTTTTTTATATAAAATTTATATGTGATAATATGAGCATGATTCTGAATCATGTGTATTAATGCGCATTTATGCGTACAATTGAGGAATTATGCATATGTATGAAACCTATCTCTAGTTTAGAAAATATTAGTTTTATTTAATATTTTATTGTTGTTATGTAATTTGTTATTTGTTTTTTATTGTGGTTAATGGTTTATTAAAAGGTTGTGATTTTGTTATACTTTAAGTATGTTGAATGAATTTGATTAATTAGATATTATTAGTTTCATGTGCGAATATCATGTTTTTGTTTATGTAATTATATTTAAATAGTTTAGCATACTGTAATTTTTGTTTCATGGAATTTGCATCATTTGTCTTAAGTGGTTAGTTGATTTAGTTTATTTGAGTGTTGTGATGTTTGATTGTGTATTTTTTGTTAGTTACGTAATTTTTGATAATTTATTAAAGTCTTGGTAATGTGAAATTTGTGAGCAAGTGTTTGACTATATATATATATATACATTAGTCATGTTATGAATAAATCTTTTTTTATTTTAAAAATAAAAATAAAAAAATATAGTTTATTTAATGCCTTGTTATGCTGATACTATTGTCAGAGTTAAATATGTCAAGCAAAATATTAAAGAAGTACTAATATGATGGTTGTGTGGGCTCTTGGTGCTTATCCTGTAGAGAGGGAAGATTATAATATTGAGATGACTTTGTTTGTTCTGATTAATTTAGATGATAGGGATCCTGAGTTTCAGCTATTTTCTTAAAGAATAATTTTTTTTCTGTTGGCAGTAAGATTATTCCTGGGGTTTACGAAGGGAATAAAAGAGCAAAGGTACTTATAAAGTATATTAATACTGAAGTGTTTTTATCAATTTTTATTAATTTTTTATTTTTAGATGACAGTTTTATCATATCTCACTTGTCTATTCTTAATAAGGTTGAGGAATCAAATAAGTATCTATTAAAAGTGTCTTTGGTTGGTATTCTCCAAGAAGCGCTGAATGTAATTAAAGACAATGCTATTGTTCAGGTATTGGTGTCTGATTACGTTGGGCAAGAGGTGAATTTTAATATGAAAGTTGTTTTTCCATTTCATAGTAGATGATTTGCAATTGTAAAAGACAATATTCATTCTAGAGAGTCTTTTATCTTTGTTGTTGGGCATTTAGAGATTATCTAGAATGAGTTTTATATATATGCTAGTGATATTAATTGCATTGATATGCAGTTTATTAGTAAGAAGAATTTTTTGTGGTTCTTCATCTAAAAATTCGATTCAATCTAAATTGTTAGTTACTCATAATAATTTTGTTGAATATTTGAAAGTTGTGTCTAAAAATAGAGGTATACCTCCGACGGTTAAGAGTGATAGTGTGAATAAGTTTGAATCAGACTCTTTAAATGATAGTCATTCATCTAAGCAAGTGTGAGTTGAAGATTTTGATGATTCTGTTAAGGAATTTTGTGAGAATTTTGCTAAAAAATCGAAAGGTAGTGTGGTTAGTGAAGTTTCTGTAGTATCTAATAGTCATGTAAGCAGATTTGAGTTGAGTTCGTCAAATAGTTTACATTTGTTTAAATGTGATCATAGCGAAGATTCTGAATTATTTATTGGAGGTAATTGTACAAATATAGTTAATAGTTTTGTTTATTATAGTTAGGAAGAATGTAAAGGGTTTTTAAATAGTAATGTATGTCAAAAGAGAAATTCTCGCAGGAAAGGTAAAGAATGCATTGGCGGTTCTTTGTACTGTATATTAATTTATATTCTTGTAGTTCAAATTCTAATGCTGATGTTATTAAGAAGTAGGGATTTTATGTTTTATTAAATTTTATAGTTTTATTTGTTTTGTGTTGAAAGATTTTTTATTTTTGATTTGTGTATTGTTTAGTTTTTTATATATTATTGGTCTATAGTTTTGTATATTTTTTGGTTAACAAAAAATCTTGTTTAGCTTATTTACATAGCAATTAGGGTATCGTACTTGATATTATTACTAAAACACAATTTTTATATATCAGCAAAATATATAACTGTAATCTTACGTAAGTTATTATGGCTTGAAAACTTGCGCAAGTAGTAGTGCATAAAGAAGGGTTCTGGGACAGAATTCTGTAAATGTATCCAGAATAGGTTCTTTACTCCCTTTACAAACTCTTCTAGATATATTTAATCATTTATCGAATTCAAGCTCTAAAGTATGATAGAGCCAAATCCTGTTAACTTACTCTCCTTACACCTAAATTTCTGTTTCCAACACTAAGGAAAACATAGTCTTTGTTAATGTTCTGGCTATGTTTTTAATTCCAAACAAGATAACAAAACAATTATGCTATCTTGCTTACTCTTGAAATAAGCTGAGAGCACCGAGGACTGAAGTGTCCGAGTGTGCTTTTCTGCGAGCCCATTCAAGCCTAAAATGTATACTTTTTTCTATATTATTATAGAATTAATTCAAAAAGTGATTTAATACTATCTAGCAAGGGTCAAAAATTTATACCGTAGGTGTAAATTTTTGTATTGAGTGTAAAAAAATTTGGGCTAGGTGTAAAAAAAAAAGGGATTAAACAAAAGATTTTGTAGTATTAATACAAATCTCAGAGAAGCCACACCCAGGTATAAAAAAATTAAAGAAAAATATTAATAAAGTATTATATACAAATTAAGATGGCTAAAAGCAAAAAAACTTGCTATAGATGTGGTAAAAATAACTTCAAAAAAACTTGTGATTTAATAAACCATTTAAATCAAAAGTGACCATGTAAATTTAATAATATAAAAGAAACTTCAAATACAGAATATTATACAGCCGATGAAGGCCCAGATGAATACTTTAAATAATTTTATATAATATATATTCTAAGAGTTTAATAGATTTAATAGCTTTTTTTTGCTCTGAAAAAATTTATTTTTGAGGAGGCGGACTAGGTGTAAAAATTTAACTCAAACAATTTTTATAAAGTTGGAGTTCCTGAGCCTTTTCTTGAAGTCTATTAATATATTGGGTTACATAATATCCACTAGAATGTTTTCTATAAAGGCCGGGCTCAGAGCTAGTTGGCATACTACATACCTTACAAAGAAAACGCTTCCTAGCTCTCCAATGTTTATGGCACCCTTCAGGCCGGCGACAGGTCCGTCTACAGATATCACCTGTTCTAAGTAAATAGTTGCAAAAGTATTCGCCTACCATAATAACAAGAATAAATATTTTATTTTAAACAAAAGATTTCGTAGTATTAATACAAATCCCGGAGAAGCCACACCCAGATAAATATTTTAATTTAAACAAAAGTTTTTGTACTATTAATACAAACAACTGAAAGTATACACATATATTCATAATGATACCACCATGTCCACGATGCGGTAAAGATGACTTCAAAAAAACTCGTGACCAAAAAGCTTATCTAAAAAGAAAGTTTAAATGCAAACCAAAGCCTATTCAAATACCAGTACAACTTTCTCCCTTGCAAAACGAAATTCAAGATAGAGATCCAGAAGCCGGTCCAGGCCCTGCCACCCAAGTATATAGAGAGGTAAAAATTGCACCAGAAAACCATTTTCGATCAATTTACAAGATAGAAGATGGAATTATAAAAAAAAAGCCATCCTCAAAAGCTATAGAATTTTTAGAAAGAAGACCAGACCCCAATAGACAGTATCAAAATCTCAATTCTATGACAGTATGGGAAGGAATAGTACTCTCAACTAAAAATCCTGCATATATATTTAATAAATGGCAAGACAACTCAATAAAATATGCTAATGCCCCATACATGCCCCAACTCATGAATTCAACATGAAGCACTATTACAGATGTTCTCAAAAAAGAGCTTCACAAAAAGGATCAAATAAAATTAGCATTAGTCATATATGCCACATATATAAAATATAAATATAAAGGGATGGGTGACTTGAGTGATATAAAAAACTATGATACAAGTTATCATCACCCATATCATAGAAGCAATATGCATATTCTTCTTTCAGAAAATGATATAGACCAGCATTTAACACAATCTGTCAGGGAAATCGATGAAAAGATTAAGAAGTACTTAAAAGAAGAATCTGGCAAAATTCTTCTTAGATTAGAAATGATATTTATTGAATCCTATATCTACCGTTGAGCCAATGGAGGTTCCTATATTCCTACTCCCAAAAAGCTTGCCAATACAAAATGCACTATCAATCTGGATAATAAAGGTTTAATTGATTCTGAAACCAATATATTATCCGAAAAATATCTTCAAGGTGCATTAGGTGTATATTTTGCCTATCAGGATGGACATACAGAGCATCTTGAACGAATCTTCTGAGCCACAAAATACAAGCCCTATTTAGATATCGTCAAGCTAGATGGGATTCCTATGCCTACACCAATCTGCTCATGTACATTTAATAAAATCGAGAAGATAAATCTTGATATCTCTATCAATGTCTGGGAATGGAAAGAAGAATTAGCAACCCCAAACTGGTAATAGCTAGCAAGAACTATAATAGACAACATATTATATATCTTATAGCTCTTACGGATATTACCAAATCTGAAGATGATAAATACAGGCAAAAAAACTACTTTCTTTGGATCAAAAATCCAGAAGGATTGGTTTATAAAGATAATGCTAACAAAGTTAAAAAGCATCTATATAACTGATGCTTTCAAAGTTTCTAGTCAGAAAAATCTTTAATCTATCACCAAGAGCACTGTTTCGGTTTGGGGAAGGCTACTCAAAGAGTCACTTTACCTACCAAGGGGGTCAATGATTTTGAAAAGTTTAAAAATCATGCCCAGATGATTAATACTTCATGTGTAATTATAGCAGACTTCGAGGCAGACAACAAAAAATGCAATGAAGAATATGGAGGACAAATGCGAAAACTTGCCGAGCAAAAAGCCAATAGCTTTTGCTATCTAGTTCATTGGTTCGATACTGGGGACAAATGGGGGCCTTTCCTATACCGAGAAGAAAATGCTATACAAGTATTCGTCCGAAGAATTGATAAGGAGTTGGTCGAAATTAATAAAGTTTTAGTTAGCTATTAAGTATAACCGAATTGTGACAGAAAAAGATAAGAAAAAATTTGCCGAAGCAAATACCTGTTGGATTTGTAAAGATAAATTTAATGAAGAGAATAATAAGGTCTGGGACCACTGTCATATTACAGGTAAGTTTCGTGGGCCTGCCCACAATGCATGTAAT